CAATGAACTGTATTGATAAGAACTAATCAGTAATTAAGGGCTTGGCTCAGACCTGGACACTGAGGGGGGAAAAAACCTCACCAAAATACCAAGTGTGTGCTCAGTGAGTAAGTATTTGCATCCAGGACACTGATGGATCTAGAGAAACTTGAGAAAACAAATGTACAAAGAGGCAAATTAGATCTGCAGGGCTAACCTCCAATCTGGTTCCATTTAGAGTTCTTGAGTTTGGCTGCTTAATGCAGGTTTCTGTTTGTAAAACTATCGTGCACCAAGAACAGATTTCAGGAGTCCAGTGCTGTGACTCCAACAGATCCCTTGTCTTCTAGTTTTGTGTGGGATAGCTAGAAAGTGAAAATGAGGCATTTAGCCCAGTTAACCACTGTTCTTCCTTACTGGCAGAGCTCTCTTTCTTCATCCTTTTACTGGCAGATTGCAGAGATCTGCAAATCTCCTTTGCATGCCACAGGCTAAAACCTGCTTTGCCATATTGTGGTGCCTGAATCAGCAGCCTTAGGAGAATAAATCTGAGTTGCATCCTTTCCTCTTCTGCTGGAAATATGGAATAATTCAATTTCTGAGATGGTTAATTCTAGTTTCTCAGCCCTAAGGCAGGTATCCTTCATTAGAGAAGCACTTAACTGTGCGCATACATTTCACTGCTCAGTCAGAACTTACTTCTGGGGTCATTTCTCCAGTATCACTTTCCAGAAAAGAAAAAAAAAAAAAACACACCACAAAACAAAACCCTTCCTTTGCTTTCCCTTTTGGCAAAGAAGATATACGTGCACAGCAAAATTGAAGTCAATGGGCATTAAGCACATGCTTGAACGCTTCCTTGAACTGGGAGCTCAGTTTCTGATGTGGCAGTGATTTGTAGAATGGGTGCATGGAAACATGGAGGGGTCTATTTTAAAGACCAAACTCAGTGCTCCCATCTTACTCCACAGCACTGTTGCAGTTTACAACTTGCTTGAAGACTCCACAAAAACCATAGAAACGTGGCACAGATATGCCAGTCGTGACAGTAACCCTGGATACAACTGCTTTATCAGGATATAACATGGCAGAATTAGTGCCAGTTACTATAAAAGAGCCAACAAAGCGTGACACGTTTTACTCCAGTTTGCATCTGGGAACAGTGCCAGGCAGCAAGGGGAACATGACTCACGTGCGCGCTCAACTCTCCCGTTTTGCTCCTGTGTACATTCATATTTTCTGGAAGGGGGTGGCAAGGGAAGTAATTTCCTTTGGTACTGTTAGGCAGACAGCACACCCCACTCCCACGTGAACTGACAGCATCAGTGGGGTCTGGGCAAGTCTCTGGCTGACCACAGAGCTTTCCTGTACTGGTCCTGTTTCATGCACCAGCAGAAACTGGATGGAGCAGTAGGTGGAAAAGAACATGTGGGGCACACACAGCTTGATGGGGTAGTCACTTGCCAGTCAATCACTACAACATGAAATAACAAGCACATCACCTGGGAAATTTCTTCACTCTGTTGCTTGGACTGCTGGATGCTTTATGGCAGAGAGCAGCTGAAGGAAGGTGGATTTATAAACCAATGGTGTGAAGCTATACCCATAAGGCAGAGAGAGGCACTAACTATCCCAGCAAACCAGATAAATAGCAAGGCTAAATGACAGGAGAGCTAGGAGCAATCACCTTTCTAATCCAGACAACCAGGTTTTGGAATAGCAAATAATTTAAAAATAATTGTTTTCATTGCTCCCCTATGCACAAAAAATGAAAGAGAGCACGAACATCAGCAGCATCTCTGAGAGGGTGAAGCTCACTTCATCTTCCTGTCTGACTGGCTGCAGCTCCCACGAACTGCGCAGAATAGGCAGCAGAACAGGCAATTCTTCCCTTAAATAGTGAGACTCAAGCTGTGAGAAATCAGAGCCCTTTAATGCTCCTCTGATATGGCAAGTGGCATGACCTCTCAGGTTTGATCAGTAGCCTGGAGGTGGTGAGTGCTGGAGCTACAAGCTAACCTCTCTGGGAGAAGCAGTGGTGCTCTGCTGCTTGCACAAGCCTCCTTTTGAATGCCGTAAATATTAAGGAATGTGCTACTTCTTCCAACCTTTCAGTGCTCTGTCTCTCTGCGCACAGTTGGGCGTTGGGAGACAGAAAGCCAAGTACAGCTAAGTGCACTGAAATGCTTTGCAGCTTTTTAAAATTTCATCCAGCATCTGAATCTGTTTATCTAACCTTTTTTTCCCCTCTCCTCCCTTTTCTTTCTCAGGGAATTGCTCCTACTGTGCGGATGAAATGCACCAAAATGCAAACAAGCAAAATAGGGAGCTGAGTGACGTTGAATGCCAGTTCCTCCATTGCCAGATGTGAAAAGAACAAGTGGTTTGAAAACCATAATTTGTTTAAAAAAATAAATAAATTTGCTACTTCTGAGCAATTTGATGATTTAATGAGCACAGATGGATGTGGGATGAATTTCTAGGAGACAAGCGTTTAATGTATCTGCTCAGATTATTCCAGGACTAAGCATTATCCTTCCTAGTGCATGAAGGTAATTAATATTTCCCATTATGGGCATGAAAAAACCCATATGATCAGTTAAGGAATGCAGATACACCAGTGATATGGAAGTTAATTCATAAATCAATTAGAGAATGTTGCCTGCTGTGTATAATTAGGGTTACTTCAATTATAGCTTATTTTCGGATTTAAGACTCAGGAATTAAAATGCTTAAAATTCAAGTAAGTTCTTTACCACCATAGACTGCAATTGGAAGGATTTACTCAGTTGTAGCAGTTTAAATCTATTTACTCCTGATTCCAGCATGGCTGAGCAGACACAGCTAACCCATGTCCCTCTGGTTCTATTCTACCACATAAAACTGTAATCAGTTAAATCCTTTACTCTTTGGACCCTCCTGAGGTGAACTGAGAAACATCTAGGATATGGGACTAGACCTGGCATATTATATAATGTGTCTGGGCTTCTCTGCAGTAAAGCTTTGAGATCAGCACCTCTACAGCCAGCTCTGGGGATGTCAGGAGATGTTCATCCCAGCTTCTTTTCATGGCTACATCTAACTAAAGGTGCAGCATTCCACTGATTTAGTTACACTGGTGCTGAATCTGGTTTATATTGATTTAGCTTTTCTTATAGCATTAATCTAAACTGATGTGGACCAAATTAAATGCACCTAAATAGGGATTGGTTTTTCACTCCTTTACTAAATTGCTTTTCCATGGATTTTAAGTATAAGAGACTACTGTGATAGTCTGCTCTCACTGTCCTCATTACAATGCTGAAGGACTTGCCTGTATTTACTTCTGCTTCAAGTTTAATAGCAGCATCCCTTTTAGACAAAATGCCTAATCTAGAGTTAAATATTGCCATGTCTGTCCTTTCTGCAGCCTTTTACAGGCTGTTGCCAAGCCTCTCCTAAGCCACCAGATATAAAATGTGTATAAGAGCTCCCTGTATCACTGACTGCAAGTATACTGTTCTAATATCACACCTTTCTTATAGTGCTTCATGTAAGCTACTCCACTTTACCTCAGATTTGGTTCTTCTGAAATATACTGTTACTCTATGTGATTCTTACCAACATGTTGAATTAGCTCTGTATCAGAGGATTTGCTCTCTTCATCAGCTACTTCCCACTTCAATCCTCTGTTTGCAACAGTGAAGGCATTATGTTGGACAGTGTGCAGGTCCAAGACCCGGCTCTTCTTAGGCTACACTACATATGTACACAATAATTTTCTAGTGATTTCTGATCTAGAGCTAGATTTGATTACAGTGAATCAGATTTCAATTCACTTAGTATATGCTCTGTCTGTTGTGTACTCTGCAAGACGTTCTATGATAACAAACCAGATACCTAAGAAAAGTTTAAGTATGTTACAGTGTCGCTGTTACCTTCCCAACCAATTTTCAACGTGCATTCAGTAAAACACTCTGTAAGGTATGGACTGCCCTTATTATGCCCTATGTCATCTGCTCCATGACCCTAAGGGGACTCAGGGTCAGGTGGCTTGCCCAGTCCATGCCCTTCACCCTCTTTCATTCACTCAAAAATAGTTTATTTCAAACTTCTGGAACTTCACTATCAATAAAAAATGGTTTTAAATATAAACTCCAGAGAGTGCCCTAGGGTGCTTTTTGAAAATTCTTTGATGCTTTTGTTAAAAATGTGTTCTCCTCGGTTGCTTTTTGAGTAGAAAGCATTTCAATAGCCTTGTACCAGTGCATTATCTGCTCCCTTCCCAGTCTTCAAGCTGCAGTTGTGTAGAAAATGCTTAACTGAAGCCATTTGACTCTGCATAAGGAGACCTAGCTCTCTTCTGTACCCCTGTTTCTAGTAAGTTCTCTCTCTCTCTTCATCTGCTTTTGTGTTTTGGTGTTCCCATTCTACTCTTTTTGGGTTTACAAGGTCATTTATTCTTAGGTAAAAAAGTGCAGAGCAGGCTGTTGAAAGGAAGTCCAGAATCACTGGTACATTCCTCTCCAGAAATGAGCTACAATTTTATTATCAGGTCACTGAAGATGGGATCTGTAAGTATCCTAAACAAGGAGAATTTGAAACAGTCTTTGGTATGGCAGAACAGGCCAGGAAGGGCTTTGATGAGCAAACACATCACTCCTGTTGAACCCAGGCAGGAAGTGCCACATGACAACTCTACAGGTTTATTAAAACATGTAAGTTACCCTAAAAAAAGTGGCCTTTGCCTTAATGCTGAGAAAGCACTGCTGTCCTCCATATTTAGACCAAGGCTGTATGGTGTCATGGGCAGGTGCTGCTCATCACTTTTAAAATCAATGAACATTAAAACTGCACTGTGAGTCAAACGTTTTTCAATGGGCAGATGCATGGAAGCCCTGTCTTCCTAAGAGACAGCTGATCCACCTGCAGTTGATCCACAGAGCAGCAAAACTGCAACAACCCCTGAGCAGGTTAAACTTGCAGCCCTCCTGCAAATGGTCCCTGAGGAGGCAGCTGATCTCAGGAGATACACAGCTTACCTTTCCCGGGGCAAAGGCTTGGGCTCTGGCCGAACAGCTGCCATGGAAGAGAGGGGCTGCCTGGCAGGAGAAGGGATGGAAAAATTCAAATCCAAGGAGCCTGTTTTCCTGTGCAGAGGCTCCAGCCCCATGGCTCCTTGCATTTCACTCTCGATAGGGCATGAGCCAGCCCTGCCGTGGCTGGAGAGGGAGGAGAGCTCAGGTCCCACCGCCCCTTGCAGGACTCCTTCAATGGCTGCCTGGGCATCGTGCGTGGGGGACACGGAAGGTGGGGAGCGCGACTTCTTTTTTGTTGATGCTCCTGCTAGAAGTTTCAGCAGCCCACTCTTCTTCTCCTTCTGCAAAGGAACCAAACAAATACGGGCAGTGAACAGATACACCAACTCTTTTATTTTTTCTTTTGGAAAATCTCCACGTATGTGGCAGAAAACCTCCCAAAGCTGCCATGACTAGAGGTGGATCTAGGAAGAACTTGAGCTTTTGGTAATGAAGATCCTATCAAAATCACTCCCCATCCTGCAGGGCTTGAACTTTGTCAGCAGAGAAAGGACCTAATATACTGCAAAGATCATCTCCATCTTTCAAGTCGACCCAGGCTGTGATCCTGTGCCTTTTGAAAGAAATAGTGCAGTAATAGTGGGACAGCAAAAGTACAAAACTTCCCATGCAAAGTTTGCTATCAAAGTGCTGCCCTTTCTCTTCCAGGAGAATCTTGTGCCTCAGTAGAGAAGCTCCCCAAAAGTAACAAGTCAGGACCTATGGCTAAAAGCCTCTGCTGGGAAGCACAAGGGTCTTAGGAGAGATTTCAGATCCCAGCTCATTGCAAGAGGAGTGCTCATCATTACTGCCTTGTTTAATACCTGATGCAGATTTACTGTAGGGAGAATGGAGACGCAGGACAGTGGCTTAAAAGCTCTTTCCAGTGCATGCTCCCCTTCACATCCTGCATCATACAGCTGGACCTATTTGCATTTCCCTCCCAGAAGTAGGTCACTTCTCATGCATTAAGGTAAAGGTATCACTTCAGTGTTCGAAGACGGACCACAAAATTTGCAGTTGCCAATTGTAGCAGCAGTGCATGGGAGGTTTCAAAGTTCTGCAAGGATTTCTGACATGGACGAATGAAAATAGCATTAACCCTTCAGTTAATTCAGTTAACCCTTTCAGTTACTTTGAGAAAAAAAGTTCACCCTGCAGTACTGAAGAAACACATTTGAGCTTGTGAGTTTTACAGCAGCGTGAGAAATCCTGCTGTTACCTCAAGCACACACAAATATCATGTATTATGTCCTTAAGCTAGAAAGAGGTAGAGGGTTTTGGTTAGAGGGATTGTAAGCAGAAGCTTGCCATCCTACAGTACATGCTGCACAGTGCTGGGCTAGAGCTGCAACCAATGATGCTGTGTAGTAAATTTTCCATTTTTTAAGGACACAAGAATTTTTGCAAAAGTTCTGTTTGATTTTTTCCTCTTTTGTCAGAAGTGCAAGCCATTACCCAAGACTGTCTTCAGAGACTCAGAGATGTGAAGATTAGCTGTATTTGATAATTTGTTCTATAAGAGGATCCCAGGGGATAAAAAAGAACCCAGCAACAGCAATACTTATGGAACAGAAACTATCTCACTGTCTTCAAGCAGGAACATTCTTTGGAAATATAAGCCAGTAATTTATTTATTCTCTGTAGACAAAATGTCTCATTCAAACTTTAAAATTATGCTCTTTTATGTGCTGACTGCTAAAGTAATTTCTCAAAGCAAATTTAAAGAACAGGAGTGGTACAATAAAATAAATATAAGCTTTTAGAAGATGCTTGAATTTGCTACAGTAAATGAACTTGAAGTATCTGATACCTCTACTCCCATAGTCCTTGCTTACACTCCTTTGCTGCCACAGACTGGTGAGAAAATAGAAACATCTCAGATGTTAAGACATGGAAGAGCTAAAACGAAGCATAGTTGTTATCACACACACAATGCCCACTGATTTTTGAGGAGCAGTCTGAACTGTGGTCCCAGATTCCTGTCTCCTGCGTATCACCAGTTCCAACTATATGCTCTGTTTAAAATGCCACTTGTCACTTGTAGGATGAAAGAATCCATCCTGCCAAGATGTTCATCCAGGCAGAATCCATAGAAGCTGAGGGAGGCTGGCCATATGGCCCCATCAGGTCAAAAATACTAAATAAATTTCCCTGGAAACAATAGAAAAGCAGGCAAAAAGCCTCTGAGAAACATCTTGTTTTCCTGATGGGAAGGGACTGTTGTGGGAACTGCAGTCGGTGTGAATGCTGGAATTCACCTGAAGCACCAGAAAAAAATTGTCAGTGTTTCTCTCACCCTCTAATTAAGAAATATCACTGCTGTCATCAATATATCAACTGTTAAAGCTCTTCATGAAATTGCAAAACCCTCTTTTCCCTCTGGTCACTGAAACAATAGCTCTAATGATGCCAGCACACTGTGTCAATATGCATTTAAAGGTGTCTAAAGGTCAGTGACAGAATACAATAGCCATTGTGGGCTCTGGAGAAATGGCTGTTGTGCAGCAGTGAGCACTTTGAGCCCCTTTAATTGGCAGCTTTGCACATGCAAAGTAACTATGTGAACCAAAGCCCTGTATAATGAACAATTAATATTCCTGTGTGGTAGCAGCTTTTCTAATTTTTGCTTCTAATTTAAATACCTTGGCAAATTTTCATTAGAAAAACCTTGTGTGACACAGACCATTTAAAGCATAGAAGAAAAATCTTGGGAAAGAAGAAGACACTTCTATATATATTCACACCCATCTGCACATTAAAAAGCAGATGAGTCTGACAGTCATTTAATGTTGTTTACAAGAATGGCTTTCACTCTATGTGGTAAGCCCTGGCAAAAATTTCTATACTCGAGCTACTATCCCTCAGATAACAGAAAGCTATAATGAACTTGCTGTAGTTTGTTTTACTTTAACAAAATAAATAAATAAATAAAATAATCTTAGTCCTTCTTAGTCCATTGAGCATTTTACTAAACTTTGAAGGCTAAGATCTGTGTTCTCTAAACAGAGAAGATAACTTACTTCAATTTCTAAGCCTGCTAGTCAGAACCTGAGGAGTTCCATCCTTCCCATCCTAGCCTTGAACAAGATATTTAGAGGTGAACTGATACTATCCACTTCAGGACATTAGACATTACATCCGGCTCTTCTCCCTCTGAGCCTGGCAAATGCTTTCAGCCTTCTGGTATCACGTTGCCAGATACTCTGGCGATGCTGCTCGGAGCCCTTCAAGCAAAACAAGGACTGTCAGGAGCTGATAATTTACTGTGATAATTTTCTCTCATGAGAAACAGATTGGTTTGAACCTTCTGTGATCAGCAGTTCAACCTAAACCCCTTCATGCCTCCTCCCCCATCTGTACAACGGGACTAAGTTAAAACTCCTCCTTGTGTTGTGGGAATTTGTTAATGACTCCTGTGTTACAAAGCTCTGTGTTTCTTTCAGAGCATCCGGTATTTTTCCATACCTTTAACATTACAAAAAAAGAAAGAATATTTGGAATGGGATCTTAGTATGCTTTCTGAGTAGAGATTTATCACAAATGTCCAGTATAAATTAATGTAATAGTTACTGTAATAGCAGCCATCCTTCACAAGAAATTAACGTAATATCTATATGGCCATCCAAGACAGTCC